GCCACCGCCCACCGCCTGCTGCACCCCACCCTCTTCAGACACTACGCCACCGTGCGCAATAGCTACACGTTCAATATACGTAAGTAGTTTTCACTGAAACTAGAATTACTAGCTTTTTCCCCTGACTCTACGCGTGGAATCAAAAATAATAGAAGTAAGTAGACTATGTGTTTTAGACTTATAATATTATTAGAATTAAAATTAAGATATAAACATTTTACTTGACGCTATTTATTGTCTACAAACTGTCCGCGACTCTGTGCGGAATAAAAAATAGAAATTAGTATCCTTATGGCCACATACTAAAACGGAGGACAAAATACTTCGTAGGCCCCGCTTCTAATATAATAGACATCGAAATTAGTAAGGAATTTGCAGTTTAAGGATGGTCTTATCATTTAAAACTGTCTATGTTTAACATTTTTTTAGATCAGAACGCAGGATAGTTTTAACTATCCTAAACATCCCGTACTTTAACAGTTGTAGACCTTTTTGCTGACTAGCAGGCAATGGTGGTTCCACATCATAAAAATTGTTTCCGTAACAATATATTATTTTTTTACAATAACTTTACAGGCGAAGCTGGAATTTGTGGTTCTGTGGCGAGACTTACAGCTGCGTACGAAATTCTGACCGCACTGCGCATCGGGCGCTCCTCCGCAATGCTGAACAACACGACGCTTGTATACGACGCGTTGCACGACGATGGTAAAATTTTACATGCATTCACGTACACGTAGAAAACACGATATACCACTACATGATGTCGTTTTTGAAGTCATATATTATTTCTTAATAACACAATTTTAACTTCTTCAATTTTTCTATACTAATTTTTGTATGTATTGAAATAACTCAAAAACTCAACATCATCATCATATTCCACTCCAACTCCCGTAGGGTCGTTGCACCGAGTTTTCATCATCCAAATAACTCTGTCATACATCATCTCAGTCATCAATCCTTCTTGATCATTTCACATTTCCCGCAATCCATCCATCGCCTACATCTCTCACCGGTAGAGGTAGACCTAGAAAAAAAAACTACTAAATCGATTTCAAAAATTCTTGTATCATTAAAAATCTGTGTTAATAAAATAAGATGTTCGCCAAAATAGCGACCGCTGGCTATAGACATCTGCAAAAGTATGATGACGGGTCGCACAGAAAGAGTATGCTTCGCCTTTCGCTAGGTCCCTTCTACCATCAAAATGACAGCTAATAACTTACGGTGTGGTTACAGAAATGGTGTCAGTAGATGCGTCATTGGAACAGCTGACGCTGCGCGGGTACGCAACACTCGGACTGCGCACACATATTGTGTCGCTGCACGCTGTCAGGGCCGCAGCAGTACACACGCCCAGTAAGTACGCACTGAGACCAGAGGCAACTTTCTTCCTTAGTTACTCTTGTTTATCTCTTTTTTTTCTCTATGTCAATATGTATTCAATTTCTTTCAGAAGATGGCGAGATTAAACAAGCCTGGTTGTTTTCTGGTCCTGAAGCACCGACAACTTCGTAAGTTGCTGTCTCCAATAAATGTTTAAGCTTTTAAAAAAAATTAGGTAAATAAAAAATATTATTGAACAAATTTTTATACATTTGTATAGTGTTTCTTTACATACTATTTGGTAGAGGAAGACTGAAGAAAGTATGGATGGATTGTGTAAAAGAGGATATGCTTAAGAAAAGAGTG